CAGGGACTTTAATGCACAGTACTTTCCCTGCTACAGTATCTGCAGACACACGTGTGTACTGTGGTATTTGTACACACCTAGTATGTAAACTATGAAGAGGTGAGGACTGTTGTCAACTACAGCCCAGCGGCTGTAGTAGCACTGTAGTCCGACTGATGCAAATGTTCAGTCAGGACTTGTAAATGAATGATAACAATCGGCTGTCGACGGTTTCTGTGAAAACCCCAGCAGATACAAACTTCCTGTTTCTGTTGTACCAGTCGGAGGGTTTGTTTTCGTCTTATTTTTATTGTTTGTTTTTTAAGGTTAGAAATAAATTTTTTTATCATGAATAAAAAAAAGAGGAATCATGGAAAATTCCTACACCGCCACACAAAGACCGCGAGCTGACACACACACACACACACACACACGTACGTACGTACGTAGGACATGTGTGTATCTTAGTGTGCAGGTTAACCCCCCCCCCCCCCCCCCCCCCCCATGGTGTCCTGGGAAAGTCAACCTGGACACAGCGTCTCCATTACTACATCGACTGAAACCGTTTTCTTTTTTTTTCCACCCAGGAGGCAGACGTGGGCTTTTTAGGAAAATAAAGGTTGTTGGGTCGATTTCTGCTCGGAAAGTTCCTCCACAGACCACCAGGTGTGAAGTGTGGGAAAGGTTACCGACTGTTACCAACTGTTACCGACTGTTACCGACTGTTACGACTGTTACCGACTGTTACTGCCTGTTACCGACTGTTACCGACTGTTACGACTGTTACCGACTGTTACTGACTGTTACCGACTGCTACAGACTGTTACCGACTGTTACTGACTGTTACCGACTGTTACTGACCGACGGCTCATACAGGGGTCAGTACAAGTGCACTTTCATTTGAACAGTACTGTCTGTACTGTCTGTACTTGTCAGTACTGTCTGTAGTTGTCAGTACTGTCTGTAGTTATCAGTACTGTCTGTAGTTGTCAGTACTGTCTGCAATTGTCAGTACTGTCTGTAGTTGTCAGAGCTGTCTGTAGTTGTCAGTACTGTCTGCAGTTGTCAGTACTGTCTGTAGTTGTCAGTACTGTCTGTAGTTGTCAGTACTGTCTGTACTTGTCTGTACTGTCTGTAGTTGTAAGATCTGTCTGTAGTTGTCAGTACTGTCTGTAGTTGTGTTTTTGACCAATTCTCCTCCATCACTTTGGAGGTTTTGTTTTTGGGTCAGAGACAGTGTTTATGGACCAGTGTTGAGTGTGTGTGTGTGTGTGTGTGTGTGTGTGTGTGTGTGTAGTCGACCATGTTGACTCAAAAAAAGGGCTGGTGGTCAACAGACTGAAAAGCAAACAAGTTGTCATAAAGGAAATGAAATCACACACACACACACACACACATTCTCATACAAAGCCCAGTTGATCCTGATGGGATGTGAGGCCTG